CTTACCGCCAGCCTTCCCCGCAACCGAAAAGCCCAGGAACCGGGATAGGTTACATACTCGAACGGCAAAGCTAAGACGTCCAGAATTCCTCCCTTCGGATAAAATCCGTCAGCCTCCCACCCCATAAAAAGGAGTAAAAATAGCCTTCAGCCCTCCGCCTGGGACAAATAAAAAAGAAAGAAAAAATTACAGCGGGCGCGCATTGGCCGGGTGGGGGGCAGTTCCAACGTTCTTAAACGGGAGGATCAGGTAATCTTGGAGTTCATCATTGGACAATCGGCGGAGATCACCGTGTTTTGGTACTTGTAGCGCGCGATAAGCTTGGTTTAGCGGGTTGACGGAATTGCAGGCGTGATAATGGTTGATCGGTCATGCTACCGGTAGGTCACGTCCCGGTAATTCGAGCGATACGATATACCTATTGAGTGTATATGGGCGGCAATTCTTGGTGTGATGTGCACCAGCGGAGGTAAGGGTTCGATAACTGAAGGGTTTGGGGTTTGAGGTTGTCGCCGGAGTGCTAGGTGTTGGGTTTTCAGGCTCGCATCATACCTGAAAACCGCAACAGAGTTCTTTTCTACTCTATATCCTACATCTGTTTGTTCATTCACCTCTAGTACGATATTACATAACAAGTTATGAGTCTTCATATACCCCATGCAACCTGTAAGGAACCATCCATTCGAGAGATGATTGTCTGTACAATCTGCTTCCCTGAATTATTTCTAGTTAATAATTATTATTTTTCCATCGCTTCTCTATGTTTGTTTTCCTAACCTCTCCAGTTTGTTCCTTTTTCTTTTACCTCTTATCATACCAGCTCTATCAAACATATTCAAGTTTATCAAGCCTGTCCTATTAGGGTATTCTCACTTTTAACTTTTAGAGAATTCAAAATTTAAATCTTGGGATTAGAGGATGTCCGATTAGTTTACAGAGAAGTCTTCCAATAGAGTCTTCAGGTCAAGAGAAGTCTAGCCACAGATCCTATAACTAGAGATATATACAATAAATATTATAAAAATTCTTTTCGATTATTATATTAATGATTCAAAACCCAACCAAACTACACATGTTCCATTCTCAGTATAATACTTCCAACTCCCATTATTCCAGAACAAAGATTCTAAGTGTCTTTAGTATAAGTTAGTATGAGGTTATTATAAGACTCTTAGATTAAAGCTATACTATTTTATAAGTATGGTTTTCAGGCCCACACCTAAGAACCATAACAAAGTTCCTTTCTCCTCCACCTCCCATGTCCACTTATTCATCCACTTATCCCACCACACAACAATACCCCGTCAGGAAAGCACGTAGTCAACCCTCCCCAGGAGCTTTTATCCCTAAACCTGGCGATTACAAGTCTACCGAAGATATCGAATCAGAAGAGTTCTTACCAAAATTATGTAACGTCAGTTCTAGACGAACCCGTATTATGATACTCCCACGAATCAGATGTGTCCAGTCCCTCTCCCCCCAGAGAAAAAAGAAAAAAAAACTCTAAAATATAGTCCCTACCTTTGAACACTAAGCTGAAGGGACAAAAAAAAAATCCAAACCCCACTCCCCAAATTACGTACGAAAATTCCAGCCGATATTATAAAAATCAGCAGAAAGTATAATAATTCCTGATGCTAAAATATACCGCAACACCCCATCGCCCACCAACCCCGAAACAAGTTTAAGCTATCCTCACGCGCTCGTGATGGGGTTGGAGGGGGGGGGGGGATTCGGTGTAGACTAGACCGAATCATCGACAAAGGCGATATGATAAGCTGCTTTCGCGAAGGACGCCCTATGCACGACCAGTGATCACCGATCGCCGGAGGTGCCGAGGAAGGCCGTGTTTTTTTTTCTTGCCTTTTCCTTCCAACATTGCACTTTCACACGGGCCCAGATAGGAAACTTTCGGTTCTGTTGGGGTACATGTATGAGACTCGTCCCATCCTGGGACGTCATGTCCCCGTGGAAATGCCGGTTAAGTTGAGGAAGCCCACCAAGGCAGGGCGGGACCTTGCCCGTCGAGACAACTCTGACCCACGACTCTCTACTGTACCAAGTAGTTATTATAGGGGCGGACCGATAGATGTGCATAGCGAAACATAAACACCGAACATGACTGCGTGGTAGGAGGAGGAGGAGGGAGAGGGGGTTCAATAAGGTCTCTCATACCAGAAAGCTCACTTCCAAAATCTTTTTCCCTCCTCGAGTACAGTACGAGTACCGGTACCGGTACCGGGAATCGCATCCGGGTGATGCCCTACACGGACAAGCCCAGGCTTGCTATAAGTAAATACAGTAACGGTCACCGCGAGACCGTTTACCCCTTCCACAAAGCATCCAACTGTATCACCGCGATAACCGGAACCGAGCGAGGACGTCCAGAATTCCCCCTTTTGATTGGGGTGGTGGAGAAAGAAAGAAAGAAAGAGAAGAAAAAAAAGTACAGCCCCCCCCCCCCGCGCCCCCCGCTGACTCAAATAAAAAAGAAAGGAGATGTTGCCGTTCTGCAAAAGAAAAGAAAGAGAGAAAAAAAATCCAGGTTTCAAGGTTACTTGTAGAGTACCTGTTCATGTGCGTGGGTGCGGTGAGCAGTCACTTGCCGTACGCTATCGCACCCTGGCGACTGCGGTACGCCTGCGGCTGAAGCGAGAAATGCACCTCTCAGTTCGCATACCCCTAGGACTTTTTGGGCATTGGACATATTAGGGACCGGCGGGAAACAGACTTTCGCACATCCCTCTCAGTATCATACGAGTTGATCTACGAAGCCGCAGGAAGCTTGAAGAAAGAATTTTATGGAAAAAAGAAAAAAGAAAAAACGGCGGACACCCATACCGGTAGGTCCGTGGAAACCCTTCATCTTGGTAATGCTCGTGGGGTAATTGTGACGGGAAGTGGGGAACGGGTCTCCATTGCCTCTCCGATTGCAATCCCAATCCAAACTCTAGGCTCTTCTACGGCTACCTGGTAGCGGCACGGTATGCTGGCTGTTACAATACAGGTTACTCGTACATACATGAGCGCTGCAGGCTCTCCCCACGCCAACTCACGAGGACGGGAACGGCTCGCCTGGTGGAGTGTCGAGTGGGGGACTGCGCTTTCTCGGCCGGAACTCGACAGCCTGGTGGTGGGGGTTGTATCAAGCACTGCGTATCACTCGCCGGTTCCGGGTTAGGGTTTTAGTGGCTGCAGCCAAGGCTTCGAGGTGGGCGAAAACCGTGGGCGAAAACCGTTGGGAGCCCATGCCGTACTCGAGTATGTAACAATGCGCACAAGACAAGTTGATCCGGCCCAGGAAGGAATTGATCTTCCAGGTGTTGCATCCTTTCATACGGGACGATAAATTCACCGGGGGTGGGGGGTGCATCGCTTTCTGACTAACTTACCCCACGCTCAAAAAATCCCCTGTGGGAGTGATAACTCGCTGGGTTTGGACTTTCTTTCTTTCTTCCCTTCTTTTTTTTTTTCTCTTTTTTTTACCCCGTCTGCTCCCCGAACCCCGATATTATAGTTTCCGATATAATGCCCACCTTACGAGCTCAGGCCCCCCCGATTTCCCGACGATATCCACCCTTAACCATCGTCAGCTTTCGTGGGGTTGGGTCTAAGGATGAGGGTAATGGTTTGTCGGAAACTCCATGTCGTGGGGGCGCAGTGGGGGGGCACTTGGAATGTGGGAAGGATGAGGAGGGTTCGCCAGGCATTCGGATACCGCAGGCTCTTTCCCGGTTAGTGGAGCACGCCTTCTCTGCGATCTGAGATGGTGCTCGGCATGAAAATTATTGATGGGTGCGGGGCTATCCTCGCCACAGGATGGGGGTTCTCCCCCATTCTGTTTTTTTTTTTTCCACGATACATTGGCCTGGGACTTGAGGTTCCAACTCAGGTTTTTCTCGTTATAGAGTAGAAGACGGTCCCATGATAAAGTACCGTACAATTATCATACCCTGATAAAGAGAGCAGGTGGTGAACTGTTAGTTTAGGTTTACCCGCAAAATAATCCCTGTCCCGCACGAAAATATCTCTCCTGGTTCTGGTACCAATACCGTACTCGAGTACAGTACTAGTAGAGTATAGCACTAGTACCTGCAATTGATTGAATGGGCCGGGCCGGGTCGGGCACGGCATCTCGCTCCCTTGTGTAGGGATACCGCAGTGATTGACCGCACCAGGATGCCCCAAGTACCTGAGCGAGCCCAGTATCTGGTGCCTTGGATGTTTGTGGAACACCAACAGCCACTGACGCATCACGGGGGTCAGGACCGCAGAGGAATTTTATTCTCGATGGAGGGACCCAGGTGCATTTATGCCATTATGCGGGGTCACAGACTGTGACCCGCCGGTCACAAACAAACTAGCTCTACCAGAGCTCCTTTTTCTTTCTATGCTGCCTCGTGCCTGTCTGCCTAATTACCTACAGTCCACAGGTATAATACCACGCTTCGGAATCCTTTTCCTGCATTGTAATATCGTCCCAGGTACTGTAAACCTAGGTTTTGCTCGTATTCCTATCCTCGAAATCACTCCGGCTGAGCTGAAGAAACAACCTTAGGAGTTGTTGAGCACGCCACGAACCTGCATTTCTTCCCGCTTTTAAGGTGTTTTCTCTCCCGAAAGGATGTAAATGAGCGGGGCGTGTTTGGGCACACGTCTGCTCTCTCCACCC